GATGGAAGGAAGGAAGGAAGGAAGGAAGGAAGGAAGGGAGAGGGTTCATCTAGTCGGGATTCTGGTCCTACTCATCGATCTGGTCATGTGGGGGCATGTGCCCCCCCCCAGAAAAAGTTTACCAATCCATTGTGTAGAGATCCAGTACAGGTAAGGGTGGATCTTGTGTCACCTCGAAGAACAAGCCTGTTGAGGAATGATTGAGAGGAGAAGGACATAGAAGAAAGATCAGGAAGGCTCGCAGCCCTTTTCAAACACCCAAAAGGCTATCACGCAGAAGGGTGCAGAGACTTGATCCCCGCAGCTCAGGACGGAGCAGGAGCAGCCCTCACGAGAGGCTGCCTCTGCCCAGCCTCTGCTTCCCTACCTCTGAGAAGCAGATTAGAAAAAGTTCTTCCCTGGGAGGACCGCTCGCAGCATCCCCGTGCCAGCCGCCGGCCCCCAAAAGGAACGTCTCCTCGCTCTGATGAGAACCCGTCATTTCTCAGGGGGGAAAACCACGGAGAACGAGCCCGTGGCACTTTCTGTGGAATGGCCCTTCTTTTGTGGGACAAGAGGGGGTCTCTCACCTCTGCCTTCCCTTGGCAGGTGCGCAACGCCATCCAGCGGATGAAGGAAAAGAAGAAGGCTCTCTCGTTCACCGTAAGTCCGGCGACGGGGCATCTCCTGCAAGGTGATCTGGGGATACGGACCTTCGATCCCACCCTTCCCATCAGAAAGGTCTCTCTGCCCATCTCCCCCCCACACAAAAGCCACCTCAAAGGCACTACCTAGACCATCTTTTCCTTGCTGTTTCATACTACCACACCCATTCCCCCCCCCAAAAATCCACCTCAAAGGCACACCTAGACCATCTTTTCCTGGCTGTTTCATACTACCACACCCATCCTCCCCAGTCACGGGGGGGGAGGATGCCAGGCATCACCGTCCAACAGATCTGGAAGGCCCATGGCGGGAAAAGTCCGATTTGGGCTTTCTGCTCCCTCCCCCAAATCCCGTCTTCTGGCTATGCAGGCAGGATTCGAATCCAAAACTGGTTTTCCAAAGTGTTTATAACAAACGGAGGGACGGCTTTGACCCTCGCGGGGTCAGTTCGGCCGCGCGTGGAAGGATGCCCACCCCGCTCGCCTGCTCCACGCCCAAAAGTGTTTTGCTGTTCCTTTCTCCTCCCGTTCCAGAACTGCTCCCACCCTATCAACTATCTCTCTAGTCCCCGAAACACTTCCTGGGAGATGGGCAAGCTCAGTACGACCGCTCCGGAGAACGCGACCTCTCCGGCCACGGAGAAGGAGGCCACGCTGAAGGACAGCAGCCACAAAGGTACGGGGCAGAGGGAGAGAGAGGCCACAGCAGCCCTCTTTGACGTTAATTTTATCCCCCCCCCCCGATTCTTTTTCATCCCAGCGGATGCTCTTTTCTTCCCATTGCAGGGAACTTCGGGGGCAAAATGCCCATCGGACTTTCCTCCATGATGTCACCGGAGCGCCCGGTAGGTAGCCAACTCCCGTCCAGGTGGTGTAATTCTAGAATGGTATCATCGCAGGACGGTAGAGGTGGGAAGGGGTCCCCCAAAGGTCATCTAGACCAACCCCCTGCCAATACAGCTAAAGCAGCCCTGACAGATGGCCATCCAACCCTCTGCAGCATGCCTGCCCTGCTCCTTTTCACCTCTGAGTTGCTGCCTTTCACCAAACATAGATGATGTTTCTAGTCCTCATTGTTCTCACTAAGAGAAGAATGGAACACAACCCTAGGGAAATGTCTGAGGCTACACCTCAATGACTTAATAGCGATACCCACTAAGGTTTCACATTGGGGGTCTTTGGAACGATTCAGCCCCTCCTCTGCAGTGATCTGTATCCCCTCCCACACACTTCTCTGTAAGAAGCAAGATGCAGGATCTGTCTCATAGTAAGCTCTAATGCAGCTGGTTTCCACATCCTAATCTTGGGCCATGTTCCCTTTTTCCTGACATTGCATCCACAGGTGCCAGAAATGGCCCCCCATTCTGTCCCCCAGCCCATTTTAGAGCTGAGATCAGTTTCCCACAGCCCTGTCTCTCCCCCGCTCCCCACCACCCCTTCTTAAAAAAAGACTATCCTTCTGCCATCTTCTTTCACCTATATTTAATATTCTCTTTTCCTCTCTCTCTTGAGTTTTAAGTGTATCCCTAGTCTTCAAAACCCCCACCCCTCCCCTCCTATCTCTCTTGAGCGATAGCCTTTGCCCAGCCTTGGTGTCTTATTTTCTGTCTCCTAAGGAATTTTTACAACAGAGCCCTAAAGCCTTAAATTATTGCATTTAAATATAACATACATCCGGGAGCCCATGGATATTTAGTGTGCAACTGATATTTCATTCAACATTTCTCTCCGTTTCGGTATGTCCGATGAAGTGGACGTGCCCACGAACGCTCACCTTAAAATATATTAGTTAGTCTTTAAGGTGCCTGTAAGGGTCGCGGCCACCGGAGTCTCCCTCCCTGTCCGCCGACTTTTAAAGCCAGCCGTGGCTGCGTCAGACCCAGGTTGACTCCATCAGAGGAAAGGAAAAGCTGGCTGATTCCCCTACACATTTTACCCACCCCTACCCTGTTGCCTTTGAGCCAAGCGTTCTAGGAAATGAAGAGGAAGAAAGAACACACATTATTATTATTTTTAAAAAAATTAGATTACATTTCTGCCATGGTCCTCGCTCGCTGTGGCACAAAATTTTAAAAAAAATTAAAATAAAATAAAGGATTATGGAATGTTCCATCCAGTCAGCGTCCAAGGGCACCGGTTGCCAAGCCGCCGCATGCTTTTTTATCTCCGGAGCGGGGCCCGGGGAATCGGCAGGCAAGGATGCATATGCCTTTGGGAGGGGGGGGGAAGCTGAGCCATCTGCCCCGTTGGCTGAGCTGCGCAGGTAATGCAATCCGAACGCCGGTCAACCGCTCCCCGCCGCGTCCAGGTGTCAGATCCTACAATCCGCGTCATTGCTAAGCTTCTGGCCACCCAAGTCTTAGAGGTGAGCTAAAGAGATTAATTTCTCCAGGGCGAGGCTGCACTTAATCAGAGGGAGGTGCGTGTGTTTTCTTTAATGCCAAGGTCAGCTCGGCTTTCTCATCTTGGGGGCCAAAGAGGCAAAAAAGAGAAGCCAGCGGGCTTGCATTCTGCAGGGGCTTCCTTTCCCCCTGCTTTAAAACAGCAAAAGGGGAACAGTTCAGGTCCTGTATACTCTGAAGGGCTGAATTCACAAGCTTCTGACATCCACCTAGGCATGTATGTTAATCCGGGGAAATGGTTCTTTGGCCGTTTTCGGAGTGCTTTTTTTTGAGATTGCAAGGCAAAAGTGAGCCGAGAGCCTCGGAACCAATTTCTAGGACGAGAAAACGAACACGTTTCGGTTCCCCGTTCTTAACATACCTGCAGCCTACGGACTAAAAATTGCATCTCTTTAAAAGAGAAGAATGAACGCTTGCGTTTTCAAGAGGCCGACCAGTACCAGCTGCTTCACAGCGCAGTGATGGAGTTACAGAAAATGTGCACAGGCGCAAACAGAGAGAGACGCAGATGGCCATGGATTTAAACAATATCTTTTTTTTTTTCTCCAGTGAAGATTGGGTTTGCCTCTAATCTCAGTTTTACTCCCCCTCTTCCTCCACCCTGGATAAGAATGACTGTAAACACAAAAAGTTTATAGAGCTTTTCTTACCTTCTTCAGGAAATTCACTTTATTTTAAAAACAAAACCGAACTCCCACAGCTGTCTGGGGGTGATGGAAGTTGTAGTCCAGACTCACCCAGAGGTCTGTGGGTGTGAGGAAGCTTGGCTTAGCCATAAAAGAGGCTGGTCTAGTTTATTCTGTGGGAATACTTCCCTTCTGGAGCTTTTGATTCCAAGAAAAACCAAACAGTGGTTCTTTTACCCCAGAACGGAAAAGAATCTCTAGTCCGAAAATCTAATCTTTTCAATGGGCAGGTCTGGAAAGACACAACGCTTGTCTTCTTTCCTTATAATGGGCGCCCATTTTAGTACTTCTTTCAGCCCCAGGCACATTTAAAAAATGCAAAAAGCAACGTTTTTCATGTGTATCCCGCAATTCCTCAAATGAGGTCAGGGGAGGGGGAGATAAAAGGCTCTGCTTCCTACTTTGGCCTTCTCAAGGACCCTGCGAGGTAGAACAAGAGGATGAAAATATCCGCCTAAACTGAGCCAGTGAGAGCTTTCCATCTCAGCAGGAACTAGACTTGGATCTCCTACACTTTATTTCAACCCTCTTAACCTTTACACCACGTTGTTGTCATCCGGGACAACCCGCATCCTTAAATCTTCCCTGGGTCAGAAACGACAGCGTTGACCTGGACAATTAGAAGGTGTTTACTTATCCTGCCTCTGCCCCTCTTTTTTCCCCCATGGATAAACCTTTTTCCCCAAAAGCCATCCTAGGTCACACAAAAGCTTTGCTTAGCCCACCTGTTGTCATTCTTCCCACCCACCTACCCATGTTTGCAAAAGTTCCCATCCTAGATATTAAGCTGAGTTCTGGGGCTCAGAAGAAACCGTACGAAAGCTGTGTGAAAAATTGCGCTTCGGAAAAATGTGTTAAGCCTGTGTCCTCCCACTGAGACGTCTTTTTTTCTCTCCCACTGCAGGCCGTACAGCTGACCGCCTTCAAATCATCAGGTACACATTCAGATCCCGGCCTCCCCCGTGTCCTGTGTTGGCAGGTTTTCCTTCTCTTTCCCATTTAAGACAACTCCCGTCCTTTACTTTAAAAAAAGAATACCCTCCTAGCTTTCAATGCCTAAGAGGAAGACCAGGAAGACGTCCCAGTTCTTTTGCATTTGGGCTGGGGGTGGGTGTACTGCTTGCTTGAACCCATGGCCCTCCTCAACACCTTCTTTGCTTTGTGTTCAGAGCAGAGATGGTGGGGTGGAGGAAACGAAACCGGGGTGTGTTTTGTTCCTGTGTGGGGGAGGACGTGCCGAACTCTGAAAGACAGCCCAGGTGCGGTGAGCACAGAAAGGTCCCTGACCCCCACGTTCAACAAAGCTCCCAGCCTTTTGCAAATTGTTTTATAAATAGAGATTCCCTCTTCCCAACCTACCTTACTTGTGGGTCTGAGCTCGCCCTGGCCATTTCCTATTGTTCCTCTGGTGTAGGTCCTTAATGACCACTTTCTCGTAGACCTCTGCTTGTTATCCATCTCTCCCCAAACCGACCCTTCCCTTCACAACTGGGCTCGGCTTCCGCAGCATCGTTTCTTAACCAAATCGATGGCCGAACCCTGGCAGAGAACCCCCTAAAATCAGTTCCTCCCTAATAGATTGGCATCCGTTGGCAGCTAAGAGGAGGCCAGCGGTCCCGAAGAAGCACCTTCGTATCAATCCGGCTCTATTTAGCCGAAGGCTCGAGAGGCCGAATCAAACTTCTTTGCCTCTAAGGCGGCAGGAGATGCTTTACTGCTCATGTGTTCACGGCAGTCCTCGGTCTTTGCAAAGTCAACCATCTGCCCTCCAACTTACTGTTTAGATGCGCAAAGAGGGTACCTTTTAACCAGCCTTCCCAGAGACAGATGCACTGCATCTGGAAAGACATACCGTCAGGCAGAATGGGGCCCGATTCTCCAATCCAGAGCAAATTTCTACAACAGTCCATTTCATTTCATTTTTAGTCTTTTTGTCCTGCTGTTTTTAATGTCTTCCATCTCACCCAGCTTTACTGCAAATGCAAGGCAAAGGCTATGGCAGATATTTTTGGCCGCTAGGTTGGCAATGTTAGTCTTTTGGGGATGCTGGGTTTTGTAGTAAATATATATATATACCAGGGCCAGCCTCTCATTTTGACACAGCTGCACTCCTTTATTTATTTATACAATTTCCCTCCCTCTCTTTGCTGCCTTCCGAGCAAACAGCCCACAGTGGCGTCCAGGAACAGACATAACATTCCCATTCCAAACAATTTCAGCAAGATATATTATCTATGTATATAGATATATATGTATAATTTTTTTAAAGGACCTGCTCAGTGAGGTCCGTAACAAGCCCACAAAAGCAGGACAATCCTGCAGGGCCAGAAAGGGGAACGTGAACAGCTTTGTCGATTTATTTATCTTGTCGATTCGCTGGCTTTTCCCTCTGGAAATCGGTGCTGCCGAGTAAAATCTCTGCATCCTCCGGAACTCACAAGACTCTGTGTCTTACTCTCAGATTATTTCAAACTCCTGTTTCCAAAAACCACCACGATCAGTCTTTGCGTCCCGTCCCTGGACCTCTGCTAACAGCCGAGCCAAGGCGAGCCTCTTATTAAAGCAACAAACCGATAATGGACCGCAGTAACAGACAGCGCTTTCTGTTTGTATGGATTTCGAAAGGTGTTTCTGTCCTTCCGTAACCCCATCAATTCCTTTCAAACCTCTAGGAGCCCATTCTCTGGACAATGCGGTCCTCTGTGTCTCCCCACAAATGCGCGCATTTCCCTTCTAATTAGTTTCTGGATGGCTTTATGGAGGTATGATCTTCTGTCAATATTCATTACACCCCATTATGCGGGCAGGCGAGACCCTCGCAGAGTGTTTGCCCAGGAAGGGAATCGTGTTGTCACATATTTGCACAGACAATAAGGAGTGTCTCTTCGCGCACGCCCCCCCCTTCACCCTAGGATTGGGGGGGCAGCTCTTCCGAGGCGCTGCTGCAGTCCCTTCCCCTTGGTAAAATCACAGAAGCCAGGGAAAGGGGTGCCAGGTAGACCGTCTTTTGCGGTTTTCAGAAGTTACAAGAAGACAACAGCAGGCCTTTCCCTCTTCCTTTTCAATTAAGACTAGCCCTATTTAAAGCTGCGGCTGTGGAATTTTTGCTTCGAACCCCTATTATTTATCTTGTGGCATCTCAAAGCACTCTCCCTTGCTATCCAACACAGATGTGAAGTCGCCAAGCGAGGTGATCTGGAGATCTAGAGGTGTGGTTGTTACCACCTTATGACACAAAGCAGCTTCCAAACTAGCTGGACAGCTGTGGTGCAGTGATAGTCTGGCTTCTGCGATCTATCCGTTGGCTGTTGGCATAGACTACTGTGATCCAGTCCGCAAGGGACTGCCCTTGATGGTGGTCCAGAAAGAGCAAACTGCTCAGATTAAAGCTGGGTTACTAATTAGGAATGGGCTTTAGCCGTGGTCCGCAACCTTGGGCCTCCCGATGTTCTTGGTCTACAACTCCCAGAAGCCTTCACTCTGCTGGCCAGGATTTCTGGGAGTTGAAGTCCAAGAACATCTGGAGGCCCCAAGGTTGGGGACCACTGTGCTTTAGGACTATTTAAGGCCCAGGCTATATCGGCTGGGCCGTGTCTTTCAGTCAGTTTGCAGGCTCAGGTTATAAATACTGATTTTGGGCAATTTTTTGCCCATTGGGCCAACATGATTGACAGGCGGCCTGCTTCCATACGTCCCTGCTTTAGATTTTAAGATCTTCTGTTGAGGGCCTTTCACGGGTACCCCACCTTCTGGGGGCAGAAAGGTGCTTCGCAAGGGTGACGCCCACATGGCGTGTGTGTTTTTAAAACTTCCTCCAAGACCCTTGCATGCTACAGGAGGGCAGGCTTACTAGAGCATACCAGACTCTTAAGCCAAGGATCATTTTGCAACCCCGTGCCTTCCAGATCACCCTGAACATGGGTCCTGCTAACATCTGGAGGAGACCATGCTGAGAAAGGATGGAATCAGAAGAGGTTTGCCTAAAAATATTTATTCTCTGCAAATTAGGCCATGCTGAGCTGTTTTCTCCTGTCTTTCAGGTCTGTAAGGGCAGCTGTTCCACGCCATAACTTCCATTTCACAACCGATCCAGAGGTACTTCCAAAAGACAAGGAGACACAAGGAACTGAGCGATGTCCGACTCAACTCTTTTCCTTTGGCTTCCTCCAGATCCGAGTTCGAACGGGCAAAACTGTGCTTGCTTATGGTTTATCCGGCAGGTAGCTTTCCCCAAACACCTTGCTCCTCACCTTTTCCCTGGTCCCCTTGAGCCCACAGTTTTTCCACATTCCAAGACAGCGAATCTTTCTGGTTTTGGTGTCCTGGTTAGCGTAATCATGGAACAGCAAGTGTGGAAGGACACAAATCAAACTCTTCAGCCCGCTCGGCTTGCTTCCCCACATGGGCCCGATTCACCTAGAAGGGGGACTGCAACCCAAGAGGGATGCGGAGAAGTTGGGTGTTCATACAGAGGAAAGGCCTGGTGGATTGGGTCACCTGTGAAGGATACTTGTCTCCTCTACGACTGTTCCAAAGTGAAGGTGTAACAAAGTTCTAACTTGTTGTTGTGATGGACTGAACTCCCTTCTCCTCTAGCTCTTGCTTCAACTGCACCTCCTGTACCCCAAATTCTGTGATTCTGCCTGCAGAATCTTTTGTCTGCCTGCAGAATCTTTAATCTGCCTGCAGAATCTTTAATCTGCCTGCAGAATCTTTTGTCTGCCTGCAGAATCTTTAATCTGCCTGCAGAAATCTTTTGTCTGCCTGCAGAATCTTTAATCTGCCTGCAGAATCTTTAATCTGCCTGCAAAGCAGCCCATCCACAAACCCTACTGCCTGCGGATTATGGGATCTGTAGTCTAGCCCACACTTAGAGGGCCTCCGATAGGGAAAGGTGGGGATTAAAACCTATTTTTAATTGTCCCCTCTCTGTGGATCTGCAGTCTTTCTTCTTGTCCATTCGCCTTTCTGAGTGATTTGTAAATGCCTCTAGAATGTTCAGAACTTTGATGGTAAAAAAAATCTTTAGAAAGAAAGTTATATTAAAAAAAAAAAAGAATTATTTACACAAGCATATTGAGCTATCCAGCATGCCATTTTGGTGTATTGACGTTTCTGGAATTTGTCCTACTGTATAACTGTGTGTTGATTATTTTAATGGATTGATTTTACGGATTAATATTTGGTTGGCTGCTCCAGGCTCCCATTGGAAATAAAGTGGGATGGATTAAACATTTGAAATAACTGCCACATTTCGCCCGCGTTGCTGTTGTTTATTTCTTTGTTTCAAACATCTGCTTGGGATAATAGGTATTGACGTTTCTGGAATTTGTCCTACTGTATAACTGTGTGTTGATTATTTTAATGGATTGATTTTACGGATTAGTACTGTATTTGGTTGGCTGCTCCAGGCTCCCATTGGAAATAAAGTGGGATGGATTAAACATTTGAAATAACTGCCACATTTCGCCCGCGTTGCTGTTGTTTATTTCTTTGTTTCAAACATCTGCTTGGGATAATAGGGCACCATTTTGGCTACACTCTGCTGCAAAGCCCACATGTTTGAAAAATCTTTGGAAATTTATTTTCTATACTTTGCATGGAAGAAATCCTCAAATCCTTCGGAATGGAGCTTTGCCTCTGGATTTTTTTTCATCCCATTCTGACTGGAATCCTCTGACGTGAAAACGAATCTGCCATAGTAAGTGCTGTAGCGCTAATCTACACCTCCTGCAACAAAGCCCGGTATAAAATAATACCACCTTCCAATATCAGTACCATCTCTTTATGATGCTGCATTCTGTGTTTTCATTTTTCATTTGTTTATCTATTAGTTACTTTTATATGTACCTTTCTTTTTCCTCCGTGAGATCAAGGTGGTATAACCAGCCTCTGTTCCTCTCTTGCAACAACCGTGACAAGCTTAGAGACACGAGTTCAAGGTCAGCCAGTTGAGTGTCAGAGCTCTTTAAGGACTAAAGCCTTAGTCTTCAAAATCTCAACCAAACACTCTAACCCACTACACCAACCTGGAGATGGCTGCTGATTTTCTCTCTCTCTCTTTAAACATCCACGAGCTTGCATGTCAAAAGCAAAGAGAAGTCTCGTGGCCCCTTCAAGACTACCAGATTTCATTGGGCATAAGTTTTCATGGACCGCTGGCCTCTTCTTGAGATGCCAAAGCTTCAGCCCAAACGAACCTCCCAGCCTTTTAAGGGGGCCGTTGCTGGTTTGTGCTTCAACGGAGTAGCACGGACGACTTGATGGAAATGTCTTTTGGATCTTAGCCATGGTGGGACATTATAAGGCGAAGATGCTTTTCCTACCAACCACGCCCAGGCCACGGCCACTGAAAAATGGCCAATTTTTCCGGGCCACTTGCCTTGCAGCCTCCAAAGCCGAATGGCTCTTTACCCCACTCTTTCGGGCCATTTGCTGTAGCTGACAAAAGAGCCCTTAATGAGGTGGCGTGGGGGGGGAATGAGGAAAGTAAGGCACTACAGATGTGGGATTGCCTCCTGAGGCAACTCATTGGATCAGCGCATGAAATAAGTGCCCGATGAGGGTTTTGCAAGCGAGGAAGACTCTCCTTTTGGAAAGCTCTGCTCTTCTGGCGCTCACTTGTGGGGTGGCTCATTGAAGAGGCTTCCGCAGCGGGAAGGCCTATAAGTAGCCGCCAGGGCAGTAGATCTACCGCTTGACAGTAGGTGTGCTTCAGAAAGATGGATTTTTTTTTGGTGCTACCCATCCTGGGGAGCCCCGTCATGCTCCGGATAGGGAGATGAGGGCTCAGCCCTGAACCCTATGATACAGTCCAGTGGTGGATCAGTTATGGCAGGCTGAGGGGGCAGAGAAATTCACCCATTGCAGCACACATAGCAGGCGGCTTTAGCCCCAGCAATGGGAACAATGTGCAAAAGATTATCGTAGAGGTTCTAGTCCTCATGGTTTTGCAAAAAAGGATAAATTAAAACATATGTAAGAAACTACATTACAGCAAATCATGTCTCTTGACTATCTAATTCAGGAGTGTCAGGCAGAAGCCCATCCGGTTTTCAGCCAGATGTTTTTCCAATCTTACCTGAAAATGCTGAGCGTTTTTTTTTAAAATTATTCTTTATTGGATTGCAAATCACATAATTCCCCATTCTGGGAGTTCTACTTGACTGACACTCAGTTTACAGGCAACTAAATGTGGCTCGCGTGGGAGAAAAAGTTTAAACTGGAAGGCGTTGAGGGCGAGCTAAGCTTAGGTCTGCTTAGCTTCCTGTTCAGCTATCTGTAAGGCGTGTGTAAGTCGAGTACAACCTGCAGAATAGGGAATTATGGGCATTTATAGTCTTAAAAAATCTGAAAATTACATCCCTAATGTTTACAATCCAAATTTCAAGTGATGGGCTGGGCTTACTCAGGACCAGTGCATGGATGTTTGTGGAATGCACTTTGTGCATGCTCAGAGGCAAGCATATTGCAACCTGGTATGGTTACTCTTCTACATGAAAGTTGTGTTGTTTGGAGGGAGGATCAAAGAATTTCTCAGGGCCTTTTTGTACATGCGTGTACATGTACACACACACACACACAAAGCCACTTTTTCAATCCCTGATCAGAATGCGTCTGGAACTGGAAGAGTTCATGAAGCAGAAGGCATTAATGGGAACTCAAACAGCTGAGGGTGCCCTGAAAAAAAATATATAATTGTTAAGGGCTTCCCTCCCCCCAGCCGCCCTTTTCCACCCATAGCAATTGACTGTTGGGGGGGGGGAGGTGATGAATGTCATCTGAGGCCCAGGTGCTGATGCGACACCAGAAAAATTGTGCGACAAGGAACCACCTCGGATTGCCAGATGCTGGTCGGTGACAGGAGCTAATGAAGAAGCCGTGGAGTGGAGCTGGCCGACGGCTCCTTAAAAAACCCTCGTGAGCCCTGCTAAAACTGCACAAAGTTAAAGATCACCCATGGCTTCAAGCCTTCAGATCAGGTAGGGATGCTCTGCTGAAGGTACCATGAAGTCATGTGGCCCTTGACGGCTACCATCCATGACGGAGCTTTCTTGGTGATGGTCCCTCCGCATAATGCATCTCTAACTATTGAAAATGTATCTGTTGGAAAATTCCAAGAGGCTTGAGCTGTATTAACTGCCACTGCAGAAGCGAAGAGTCCTGTTTCACCTTAAAGACGACCAAGTTTGTGGGGTTCTTTGGTGGCCTGCAGCTGACAAATACAAAGCATTTGCCCCCATGGACCGGAAGCCCATCCCCCTCACACAACATCTCATCCAGAGTGATTTGAAGAGGTGGACTATACACTATGAAAGTTTATTCCAAATAAAACTTGTTGATCCTTTTAAAATGTCTCAAAAATTCAATGTCTTTATATCAAGCCGCACAAGCTTACACAAAATAATTGAATTTTTTTTTCTTTGGTGTGCTCTCTGCCTGTATTCCTGTGGTGGCCGTTTGTCATTAGTGGCTTGGTTCTCATTTTAAATTTGTGTGATGTTTGTGTGATCTTACGGATTTGTAGTTTTGAGAACAACTGCATCCTTGTGTAAACTGGCAGATCTCCCTCACTCCGTCCGAGGGAGACCAGGGTGTACAACTACGAAAAACAAACAAACCCACAGCTAGCTAGATTTAAAACAAAAAATATTAATGTTTATGATGGTTATCTACCACCTCCAGATCACAGACCACATCCAGTGGCCAAGAACAATTGTCAGTGGGTTCCAGATATTGTTGTACTCCATGTCCCATCAGTCCCAGGCTATAAGGGCCAGGGATGCTATAAAGGGGGAGTTCAAGATCAGCCAGAAATCCACATTTTTTCCAACTCAGATTTAACAACTCATCTATGAGGATCAAGGCCCTGCCCTGGAGGGAAAGGGTTTCAGGCCACCTCACCTGGGCTTACCTACAAAGGGGGTGAATTTTGCAACACAGAGAGACGATTCGGGGCACTAGAAATGGGGAATTCAAAGCTGATTGCTTTTCAAGGGGCTTTCCTTCTTCTCAGCTCCCAGCAGAACCAGGGAGATTGAGGGCAGAATCCAACCTGCCCCCCTCCCACATTAAAAGAGCTTCTCCTTCTACAATCTGCAACTCCGTCCACACCACATTTTAAGGCAGCCTGCAGACAACACCAAGATTTCCACCCGCTGTGCTGGCTCTTTATAATATCATGCTTGACAAAGAGACATGTTTATTTCGAAAGCTGGCATAAAGAATTTTCTGCCGTTTTAGCTGGTTTGGGACAACAAGGGGTTTGGAATGCCCCACATTCTAGACGGGTGATTTGGGTGGGGGGAAGGGAAGCAATTGCGTTTCTTGGCAAATCCCAGCAATATTGTTTTGTTTTTATACTTTGTATACCTGGGACGTGGTGGCGCTGGGTGTTAAACCGCAGAAGCCTCTGGGCTGCAAGGTCGGAAGACCAGCCGTCGTAAGATCGAATCCACGTGACGGAGTGAGCCCCCATCACTTGTCCCAGCTCCTGCCAACCTAGCAGTTCAAAAGCATGTAAATGCGAGTAGATAAATAGGGACCACCATAGTAGGAAGGTAATGGCGTTCTATGTCTAGTAGAAACTGTCCACGGACAAATGCCGGATCAACAGCTTGGAGATGGGGATGAGCACCGCGCCCTAGAGTCGGACACAACTGGACTAAATGTCAAGGGGAACCTTTACCTTTACCTATATCTGGCTACTCTGTCACCCTCTCTCTACCCTCCCGGTGGGTGGATTCTCGTAGTTCCTACTCACACTGTCAAGTGATAATTCATCCTTCACAGTCTGAATGCAAAGGGGAAAAAAATAAAAATAAGGGCCAGCTCACTGGTCCCCAAGCAGCAAAGATAAGGACTCGGCAAAGCGGGGAGAAAACCCACACTTGACTATAAGTGAATCGTAAAATTTATTGGAATGTCTTCCATTTGGTAAGAGAGCTCATCTTAACCCCCTCTGGGGAGTAAAAGGGAAACACTTAAGGACACTTTTTCGTTTCGAGAAAGAAAGGAAAAACCAAAAGAGAGAGAGAGAGAGATCACAGAGAGAGAGAGAAAGAGAGAGAGAGAGAGAGAGAGAGAGTGACACATTCAAACTATGTTCTCCAGCTATTTCAAACCACTGCACTCATGCACGTCTATGCCGAACAGAGTCCAGACGTCACAGGAACGGAAAAAAGGTAGCAACATGTTTGTGGAGGTGCAGAAAGCCATTGCTGCGGTGACCCTTGATGGCACAAAAAAGGGGATGGAAATGCTCCTGACAAACCCAACACAAGGCAAGGAGTAGATTCGCTGCAGGAACAACACCGTCCAGCCCAGTTCAGGAAAAAAAAATCACTTGTCTGATCTACATTGCACGTTTATTGCCATTTGGGACCACTCGATCTTAGCTCCATTCCCCAAAATCCTGGGATTGGTAGATAGGGGGTATGTAGAAATGTCTGCTAGCAAAGCCTCCCGAACTCTGGCAGAGAACTCTTAAGCCCGTCCCCAAACTGCAAATTCCAATACTAGAACATGCCATCGAGATTTTGCTATACATACAAATCCCAAGATTTTGTTGAGATGGAGCTGTGATAAATGGTATCAAACTGACACAACCTGTGTCATGTAGAGGGTCTCCATCTCTCTTTCTTGAATATCCCACCCAGTGGTTTCTCTCTTCTTTACACACCCACACAAACCTGGTCTGGAGAGAACGCACTCTTGTTTTTAAACGGTTGTGGGTATCGGAGGTTTTTATGGACCAGGATGTGTACAGCCTATAGCAAAGATGCTGCCTTCACATCAATGAACAGAAAAGCAACCTCTTCTAAAGCACATCTGTGCACATCTGTGCAGGTGTTTGCATTCAGTCACACACACACACACACACGCAGAAGCCTAGAAAGGGTGGGCTTGTAGAACTGATTCCAAAGGGTGGGAGCAAAACAGTCAGGGCTTTTAAAGCTGGTCCTAAAGACCGGGAGGAATCGTCCAACTCCCATCACCCTCACCAGCCATGTTGGCTGAGGACGATGGGAGCTGTAGTGAGAACTTCGGCAGGGTGCGAGGTTCACCCAAGCGGCTTCAAAACGAAAACCCAATGCAACACAGAGAGGGAACATTTGTACAAAGAAGTCTGGAGGGATCCCAAAGGCAGGGCCCTATTTGCTAAGGCTCAAAAAGAGGAGCTGCAGGAGACAAAACAGAGAGAATCCAAAGGTACACAATAATAGCATCCCAACTCTCAGCGGAGACTCTGGGAAGAGCGTGTGCTTCGAAGCAGAGTTTAAAAAGAACGGAGAGGAGGAGAGAAAGACTAAAAGGGAGAGCTCGCTGGAATTAGAGTGTAAGCCAAAAACAAAACAAAACAAACAAAGGAAAAAACATATAGGCTCAGCTCTGAAGCTCAAAGGGCAAAGAGAAAGATCATCCTAGGATGTCCCCAAAAACTGAGCACTCAAGCAAAGGGGTTTTTTTGAGACCCCTGGCGGGAGATAGACAAAAGGGATGGGAGCATCCTTCCCAGCCACAGAGGAAATTAAGGAGGGGGGCATAATTTTCCCTTAAGTGGTTGTGCCCAAGCTTTCCCCCTATTTTTATAGGCCAGAAGCGGTCTGTTCAGGTAGTGATGATGATGGCAGGATGCTGCCCCCCCTTTTCAGGAGGCAACCCATCCTTTTGCCCTGAACTGCTTCCTGAGAATCAGCCTCCAGACAATCTTCCAAGGCAGCCGCACGGAGCCAAGCCTCACTCTTTCCAAATGGGAAGGAAGGAAGGAAGGCCAACCTACAAACCCCTTCCAGTCCCTCTGAGAACAGGGACCAGAAAGAGAAGGCGCTAAGCCAAGGAACAGCCACCCCCCCAATGCAGAAGAGCAGGGTTGTTGGCACCCACAGTATCGGCCTGCAGCTTCTTCTGAGGGCGGACGCCAAGGATCCTGGGGCCAACCGCCTTGGAGGCAGGGCGGCCGTGAGGCACTGCACCCCCTTACCCTGTGCCGTCTTGCCCCCTCCAGGCCCAATCCTCAATCCCACCACCCACGCCTGCCCCAGTCTCTCTACTACCCAGAAGGGACGGGAGGGGGGGAGAGGGGCCCTTGTGCGCATGCGCAACTCAAGTCCGCTTGGCATGGAGCATTTCGATGAGCAAATTGTTGCAAGGAACCTCTCCGCTCAGGTGCTTGTGGTACAGGTACTCCTCGGCCTGCATGCTGAGGGACCGGATGTCGGCCAGCCGGAGGAGCAGCTGCCGGAATTTGTCCGTGGTGTGAGGATAGTGGCAGATCGTGTACTCCAGCAGGGCGGCGTTGGCTTTCTCCTGGGCGTCTTTCACGAGGCTCGAGTTCTCCACGTATTTGACATCTGCAACGAAACAAGGGAGAGGCGGAGTGAGGCCTGACAGGCGAGAGGCGGGAGGTTTCCTGTACGCCATCCAGGTGGTTTTTAATTCTAAGAAAAGGGGAAAAAAGGGGAGTGTGGAACAACTGCAAATAGTGCTGTTCTCCGGATAAATGTAAAAGTTCAAGACACAGGAAGCCTCCTATTGACTGTGGAGATGCAGAAGGACCCTTTGCCACTGGCAGATTAGCTGGTGATGCCACGGAATGTTCACGAACATTTTAATTTCCAATGAGGTGGGGGAGAAATCCCTCCTCCTAAGCAGGAAAAAGGGGTTAGCACGGAATATTCACAAACTGTCCTGCTTTCTAAAGAAGGCAAGTTAGAAAAAAAAATCCTCAAGTGACGGCAAGAGAGAACAAGACCCATTAGCTGCAAAACTCATGTAGCCATTGGTTGATGGGCTGTTAATTCCACTGAAACATCTCGTTTCTCAAGAGAAAGTGGGAAAGTGTCAGAACATCAACCGATAGCTCTTTCTCTTGGATGAATTAAATAGATCAAGACAAAGCACACACAAACCACTGATTTGGAGGGGGTGCACAAATACAACTGTTCCTGCTGCTTTCATATCCATTGGCTGCTCAGCTGCTGATGCCACGGCATGTTCATAAACATTCACATTCCCAACAGCTTGGCAGAATGGGAGAAAGAAGGAGCACAAAAAAAAAGCCACCTACGTGACCATACCAAAAATCCCTCCATTTTTGTTTGGATCTGTGTGCAAATATGGGTGAACTTCCTTCTCAAGAGAAGAGGGAGTGAACTCAATTGGGGCATACAGGGAGGAAGGAGGCAAAGGAACATAGTATGTATTTGGGCAGGATCTTGCCCCTTTAGAGCCATGCAAACTCCAGGGCCCAAACACGGCTGCAGTTCGTTGTTCCTCTGTAGATGATGGATGGACACAGAAACCTTTAATCTCCCTGCCGTTCTCAAAGCAGCAAACAGGCTCAGCTGACATGGAAACCATTATCCCCAGCACCCAGAGCCCTCTCCCTGGCGCGGGCATGTTGTGGAAAAGAGGTCTTAGGAACACAAGGCGCAAAGGTTCTTTTGGTGTGAGAGGCCATTAGCAGGTGTGAAGCCAGGGAGATAACCAGATCCCCTTTAAGCTGGCAGGCTGTTGTTGGGAAAAAAGTGGGTGATTTATCCTCTAATAGGCTTGACAACCCCCAGGAGAGGAGCAAGCAGGCAAGTCAAGAGCCCCGGACTCTGTTTGAGAGGTCACGCGGAGCGGCAACATTAACCCTGGAATGTTGAGGTTCCCCTTGACATTGAATCCAGTCGTGTCTGACTCTAGGGCGCGGTGCTCATCCCCGTCTCCAAGCCGTGGAGCCAGCGTTTTCCATAGACAGTTTTCGTGGTCATGTGACCAGCGCGACTAGACACGGAACGTCGTTACCTTTCCCACCGAGGTGGTCCCTATTTACTGTATTTTTCGCTCCATAAGATGCACCTCTCCATAAGACGCACCAAATTTTTAGGAGAAGAAAACAGGAAAAAATAATCTGTTTTCTTCGCTCCATAAGACGCACAGACTTTCCACCTCCCTCTTTTGTGGGGGGGAAAGTGCGTCTTATAGTGCGAAAAATCTACTCGCATTTTAACATGCTTTCTAACTGCTAGGTTGGCAGGCGGTGGGACAAGCGATGGGAGCTGAATCTGTCACGTGGATTCGATCTTACAATGGCTGGTCTTCCGATCTTGCAGCCCAGAAGCTTCTGCGATTTAACCCGCAGCGCCACCTCGTCCCCCTGGAAAGTTGAACTACCTCTCTTAAGGCACTGGCAGGGATAGTAAGAGCTAAACTCATCCTTGGGGAATGTTGAACCTCCAGCATGGGGTGCAGCTAACGGTCCCTCTGGTGCCACTTCACGCTGCAGTTTACAGCATCTGCCTTTTAAAACTGTATGAGCTTTGCAGCAGAGGCCTCGCCTGTTATCCCCGGATCAAGCCTCGAGTGCACGGATATTGGGATGGGATAAAAACAGCACCCAGTCCTTCAAAAGACCATCCAGCTTTGGGTTCAATGGGACAGAAGGCAGGCCAACGCCATCAAACAGGATCTGTGGCTGGGCATTAACACACACACACACACATCGCCATAACATTTGGTGTTGATCCCCCCCCCAAACTTGCCAGCTTGGGAAGGGAGTTCTCATTTCAGGCAAGTTGTGACAGAATCCCCCTTTCTCAGAGTAACATTTCTGCAAATCTTATATTTATAGAATAAGGGAGGAAATGTTACCCTCCCTCCCATTCGGGAAAAAAAACAAAAAACAAAACACAAGCTAGGAGTTACATCGCTAAATGTCATATCTCTCTCTTCCACGCGGGCTTGACAATGAGGGCAGTTCAGCGCGATGAACTCACCTGGTTTGGCAGAAGAAACCCTATTCATGCTTTAATTGAATATTTGAATAATCTTTTCATTCCTGCGAATGAATGTTGTCCAAATAACAACATCGACTCGCTCGCCGCATTGAGAGAGAGAGAGAGAGAGAGACCCAAGCACGGCTGCGAAGACTCCCTCCGATGACAAAAGCGCCAAAAGCGCCAGGAGAAGGAGAGGACAGCCAGAGGTGGGAGGGGGACCGTTTTTCTAAGCCCCTCAAGTGTTCTACCCAAGCACGGCTGCGAAGACTCCCTCCGATGACAAAAGCGCCAGGAGAAGGAGAGGACAGCCAGAGGTGGGAGGGGGACCGTTTTTCTAAGCCCCTCAAGTGTTCTTTGCTTTCAGCGCCGCTTTTGTTTGCCGGAGGCTTCTGATAAATTGCAACCGCTTAAGGGAACGCGAGGCGCATAAAAGCCGCTCTTGCTCCCCCCTCCCCTCGGAGTGGTTGTGTGAATGGAAGTCAGGCGGGCGCACGGGAGGCAGGAGGGGGTCAATCCATTAAGGTTCTATTAAGTCCTCCTAGAGAACAAAGCTAACCTGTGCCATCCTCATAAATATTGCTGCATGGAGGAGCCCCGAATTTTAATTAAACCTCTTTACCTGCTCAGGAGATAGAGGGGGGAGGAGAGAAGAAGGAGGGAGGGAGGGAGGGAGGGAGGGAGAGAAATCTATTTAGACTTGAACGTCGGTCAGCTTCTTGTGCTCACTCACACACACACACACAAACACACACACACACACGTGTGTGTGCATGTGTGTGTGCGCGCACGCAACAGCAATGTACTGGGATTGTGCAACAGCCAGGAAAGAGGTGGTATGGGGAGAGGTGCAAATTCTCTAGTTATTGGCAATTACAGCCTACACACAATAAAGGCAACAGTTCTCAGCACCGGAGGCTGTGAAGATCAAATCACTTCCTGGTGCACCAAGTCAGGTGGAGGGGGCCATGGGCCATGAGCACCAGTTGCAGCCTCCTTTGGTTTTCTCTGGGAAGGTCTGGTGAAAGAAGAAGAACCACCATCACCAGGTGGATGGAAGCTTTCTAACACATGCACATGCATCCATGAAGAGAAAAGAACTTTCACTAAATTTCTTGATCTTGAGTGTGAGAAAAAAAACACATGGATTTTCTTTCCTTCAGCGCAAGAGTGAGACAAGGAGCAACTCTTGCTCCAGTCTCTGCAATGTCTTTGCACAAAACATGAACCCTTTTCTCAGAGGAGCAAAGCACACAAGGGCACCCTCAAGCAGAGAAAGGCCGGGTGATTTTTCAAAAAGGTGCAAGCCACCTGTCAAACACACTTAATCCTTAAAAGTCCATGCAACGAAACAGCAGCCACTGTAATTTTTCACGAGTACCTTGGATTTAGCACCACGCTCAAAATTAGTAGGGAGCTTGCGAGAGAGTGGGAAGAAGATAACCATGCCTAGCTTTTATTGGTGGCAGGAATACCTTTATGTTCTGAGGACCAAAACACAAAATCAGAGAAATCCAGTTCTAGAAGAAGTGCTCTTTCAAGTGACAAAAAAGGTGTAATTATAAAATCAAATTAAAAGGAGAGGTATCGGTGTCGTCTCCATTGTCTCTGGAAGACAAACAACACCTTCCTGTGTATATGGAATTCTGGAGTTGTGAATAGCAATATAGATCACATTGCTGGGGAGGAAAGCAGTAAAGATAAACCCGGTTCCTGAACCAAGCAGCCCTGGTGAAACTTACCCAGACTGAAGAGAATAAGGAATTTCAAGCAGACAAACTCCTGCTTGTCTACTTGGAGGGAGTGCAAGTGAAGGACCAGCTCTTGCGCCCGCAGCACCAGGTTGTGCAGGATGGACCCGGCTTGGGTGGCAACCGTTGAGAGGTCCACCTAGGTTGGGGAAGAACAGAGAGGGGAGATTCAGGACTACCCAACCTCGTTGCCCTGGGGAAGGGCCAGCCATCAGAAAGACCTCCCATCGGATGCAGGGTTTTAAATTTTAGAATGTAAATCTAGCAGTTCAGGGACCAGACATTTTCTCCCTCTCAGGGATGTGTGTATGTTTTGTGTAGGTTCCTCCCCTGGACAACACCTTACAAGAATGGCACAACTGGAAGGACCTAAAAAGTGTGCCTTTTTTGGAAAGGGGGCATCCCGCAGAGGCCACTTGGCCAAAGTGGATTCTCATGTTATCCACCTCGGGCCGGGGAAGTCACTCCACTCCTGGAGCACGCCCACCCAGCCTGAATATATGCCACCCACCTGCCCGTATAGGTCATGCTGGCAGGAAGTGTGACATCAATTGTGACGATGGAGAAATGAGCACTCGGAGCTCTCTCTCTTTATCTAAGCATCGCTGGATTAGAACCACCTTTCTCTGGTCTAGCAAGGCCCTTCCTTAACGTGTGACTAAGGTGCACATTTTTTTAAAAAACAGATCTGTATTCCTTTTTTCCCACGGCCCCAGCTGTACCTCCTGGCCGGTCACCAGCACCATGCTGTGCTCCTTCCCATACTGCACTTGGCGGAAGATGTGGTCAAAAACCAGCAGTTCGCTCCAGCAGTTCTGCAGCAGCTTCATCTGGTCTCCGACCTGGAAGAAGAAAGGCAGGGAGCAACGCCGGTGAGAAGCCGCTGGCCCTACACTGCAAGGGCCAGAGGCTGCCATTACGTGGAGAGCTTAAGGCAGAGGGGCGGGTCCCTCGGCGTCAGACCCACGCGCCGTTTTATTTTTAAAATAAGCGACATGTTATTTTGGCCGCAAACAAGATGCGTGGTTGGGAACGCTTTGCATTAGAGAAGCATCGTGGCTCCTGGAAGCATCATTCCCCTATTTAGTGAGGGGAGAAGACACACACCAGCCACAAGAATATGTGGGGGGGGGGTGCATATGGGCCCCACAAGTCACCAGCCACCCTTCCCTGACCGAGAAGTACAAATCCAGATCCGAACAGATGTGTAAACACAAATTAAGGGACTTCCGGTGATGGATCAGAGCATATTTTGGCTTCTTAGAAACTGGAGGGCAACACCAAGTATACTTTGCAGCTGCCCAAAATCTGAGGAAGGCTGGTATACAAATCCAACTTTGAAACGGGGGGGGGGGGGGGTTTGCGCCACGAGGCTGCTCTTGCTGAGCACCCAGGGGATGGCGGGCAATGAGGGTCCCAAGAGGGTCTACAGGTAGGGGCTCACCCCCCAAAAAGCAAATTTTCATGCAGGTCTCTGAAAGAAAGTCCTAGCTCCACAAGCGACCTCAGAGTCAGGGGCTGCCTGGTTCCCTTTTCAGACAGGCCTACCGGTTCACCAAGACTGGGGAAAAGTTACTTTTTTTTTTCATCCTCATCCTCACCATCTTAGAACTGCAGAGCTGCGAGGGACCCTATGGAACACATCCGAGCGCTTGCCTTTCACTTGCATCTCCGTCCCCCCCCCAAAAAAAAACAATCAATAAGGATAATAACAACATGCTGGTCGGCAGGCTCTGTGAAAACGTGTGCGATTCGCCCCCTTCCCCACAGGGCAGGGGTCCAGAGGTCCAGAGAGCACGGCTGGCTGTCAAGCCAGGCTGGAGACCGCCGGCTCCCTGCTCTACCCCCTTTTTCTTCAAATCAAGCACCGCTTCCCACACGCAAAGGAATGAGGGAGATGTGCAACTCAGCAGAGTCCGGCAGGGGAACGCCAGACCCAGGGCGTCCCCAGTCCGGCTCTTATCTTCTCCCCGGTCAACTCCTGGGACAGAGAATCTCGCCTGATTCTTAACAGAGTGTCTGTTGGGCCAGGGGAGGGAAAACTGCCTCGTTGTTTGCCTGACAAAAGATGCAGTGTCTCCTAAGATGCCGTTGTGGATACATATATATATATTTTTTTGCTCTCCCGGGAGATACGGTCCCTTCCTCCGCCTTGTAAGAATGCAGATGGGAAAAAAGAAGGGAGACGGACTCCTTTTAACCCCCTGCGGACAAGAAAGAAGATGCTTCATTCTCCTCTCTGGGTTTTTCTACAGAAGGCGCCAAGATGCGTTTGGAGACCCTGGTCGTGTTTTGTTCAGGCGGTCCCCGCCGGGCATCAAGACCGAGCAGAGCAGGTGGGTTGTTGTGACCATGCGCCGAGAAAGATCTCCCCCACCACCACCCCAAAAAAATGCAGTCCAAAGTTCCACCTGGCCAGGGGCTACAGGGCCTACTTTACAGGGCTGTTGTGCAAATAGCCACAACAAAGCATGTGCCCAACGCCACAAACGCTCTTGTACAATGGCTTTTCAGGCCTTGTGGGTCTGGGCAGCCCATACAACGCTAGCTCCGGATTCTGAGAGTGCTTAAAAAAAAAGAAAAGAAATAATACCAAATTCTAATCTAACACCAAGACGGTGCCCGGAGTTGGCGCTGATTCCTGGCACGGGCATCTAAAGGAATCAAAGGTCACTCATTTCTGTGCTCTAGTCGTTTCCCCAGCTCTGACGCCTGGCAACTCTGCCCCACGGCTCTGCCACCCTTGCCAAAGGCAACTGAGCATTCCTTCCCTCCACTTCTCAGCCCTCTGCTCTGGAAATCA